GGGCGCGCTGCCAATGGGTCGCCGGCAGCGCGCCCGTCAACGTCCCATAGCCGTCGACGATTAACCCGCCCAGGGCTCTCCCTACTAGCAGCGCCCGTCGTGTTGGCTGCCTTGTCGCTTGTTTTACGCACCTTGGCTTGGTTCACGTTACCTGGGTCCGGTTTGCGCTTCGTTGCCCGCAGTGCCTGGATCAGCGCGCCCATTGCCAACATGCGCCGGCCATGGACAAGGCACCATATATCAATGTCGAATCAACCGGTGGGTTCGCCCACTCGACGACGTTCGGCAATTCGCCGGACGGGGCCCAGGGCGAACGGGGGATGAGGCGTCGTGTTTCAGTCAATGGCGGACGCACATACGCAATGCCACCCGCAGCCCGCGCGCGCGCTTTGGGCCCGATTCATGGCAAGCATCGACAAGGCCCGCCAGTGCCAGTGCCAGGGCAGAGAGCGCATCGCCGCCACCGTGTCGAGGCTGGAGACGACGGCGGCCGGGGTGCAAACGCGTCGTTGGCGTCTCCAGCCTCGTTCTCGACAAGGCAAAAAGTGGATGCTCGCCCAGGTAGCATACACACATGGCCGTACATGGACACGCTCCGACTCCAGCAGCCGGCCCAGAACAAAACAGCACAGCACAGCGCGCGTGGGCCCCCAGCAACGTCGAGACCGAGGCACCGGAAGTTAGTTTTTGAGGGCTCCGGTGGTCGCAACGCAGGCCCCCCCGAATGCTCGCCCTGGTTTTGCACAAAAGTGAGGCGGTGGTGATGCGCTCTCCCCGACGCCCTTGGCCAATGACGCGCCGCCCCAAGCCGTCTCGGCTTGCTGAGCTGCACCTGTGCTGCATCGTCGTCGCTCGCGACATCGTCACATCGTTGCCTCGACCGTCGGACGAGCTGTCGAGACAAGCGCTACTGCAGTCCCGCATCGCTGCGAAAAAAAAGGTTACTGGCGACTAGCGGTGTGGGTGTTGGGATGACACGCCTTGCAGCTTCACGCTCAGCGCCCCATCCCCGACGTCCAAGGCGGAACGCCCTAAGCCGTCGGCGGTTCTGTGGCGATCGCCTCGACGTATCCAGAGTATTGGTTTGCCCTCTTGACATATGGTCAGAGCACAACCACACACCCACTCCCACTCCCACACGCCGTCTCTCCGTCTTGTGTCTGTGCCCTTTGTTTAAACAAGAATCAAAGGCCTCCCGTCTCTTATTTCCGCCTCCAGCTTGCACAACCGAAGTCCGCCCCAACGCTGTTTGAAGTACGCAGCATCATCACTACCGCCATCACAACCACCACCACCCTCCCACGCTCGCCCACCCAACGTTACCACTAGCCACAGTAGTAACACACCCACCCCCCGCTCTCTCTTTTCCTGTCTCGCTGCTTTCTGCTTGTTTTCGCGCTGCTGCACTTTGCTTTTCCTGCAAAGTGCTTTCCGTCCGAAGCCGTCTCTTTACGCTTCGTGCATTCCTTCCTTGTTCTGCTGCTGTTCTGTCATCGCGTATGACAACTTTGTCCTCCACCACTATGTTAACGCCTGTCAAGTCGTAAACTTGCATACCAACAGGTCCACATAGATCAGCCATCCAAGTGGGCACATGCGAACAAGGTACGACCTACACCAAGCACCATCCCGCCCCACGCCCGCGTCGTCGTGCTGGGCTGACTCGGGCCCCATCTCGTTCGTCCCAGCAGCCCCCCTTGGCCTCTGTCAAACAACCCGTGAACGCGTTTCCAGCCTATGTCTTACAAACCGCACTGTCTTGGATAGTTTGGTGGGCTAACATGTGGTAGTCCGCGCTTGCAGCAACCTTTGTGCGCTTCCCTTGAGCCTTCGCTTCCTCCCCAGGCTTTTTTATCACCAACGCTGCGCACCACTCACGCGCTCGTCCCGATACCGCCTTGCACTGTCACCGTGCTCCCGTCATACGTCATCTCGTGAGATCTCGACCACCACCACCACCACCACCATCACCAATGCAGAGGAACTTTGGTAGCATCCGCCAACCCAAGGATATGGGCTCCCACACGCCAAAAACCACCGCCAGCACCAACCCTTCCTTCACGTCGGAACAGCGCTATGCTTCACGCTCTGGTACTATGGATGTAGATGGCATGGACGTTTCGCCCTCGACATGGCATGGCTCCATTTCGCCATCAGAGGGTCAGTCTGTAGAAGAGAGGCACGTATCTGAGCAGGGTGCAAGGCATACTCGGGACCATGTTATGTCAAGAGAAGGAGCTTCAACGTCGCCGTCGCCGCGTTGCTACTCGCCCGTGCAGGAGGAGCTCGCAAGAATGCTGAAGGTCATGTTGAGCGAGCAGCCCGAGACCTCGCCGTCTGTTGAAGACATGGCAGAAGATTTCCTATGTGCCACACTCACACCACCAGTCACCAAGCAGTCGTTGAGCGAGCTCGACGTCCAAAGCATAATCACAAACATCAAATTACGGCATGACGTTAACTTTGATCGGGATCTTAGCTTCAGGCCGAACCTGGACGGTGTCAAAGGACAAAAGAAGGAAAGGACGGCCGACAAGTACTGGACGGCCTTGATGGCCGAGCTGGAACTGTACAAGCGGTTGTTTCAGGGAACACCACCGATACCGCAGGCCAATCTCGAACGATTCGCTCGCGGCGCCCAACGACGGATACCCATCTTGTTCCAAACGATCCGCGATGTCATCAAGAGTCTGGTCCCCGAGCGTGATCATTCAAGAGTAGACGAGCACCTGGATATTCCTCTGCTGATGCAGCAGATTGGGCGGGGAGTCTGTGACTTTGTACGCCTGGCAGAGTGGATAGCACATCTGCTCAAAGAGCATTGCGCGCCAATGCGCGATGTATGGGTGGACGAGATGGTGGCTCTCATCAGGCATGGTGCTGCCTCACAGGATTCGAAGCAGATTGTCATTGGCTTGAAGACACTGTTTGGTATCCTGGAAGCTATGAAGCTTGTGAGTTTGTTTGTTTCGTTCCTGTCAGTTGAAGGCTAATTGGATGTTTAGGACGTTGCCAACCATCAGATTCGAAACCTGAGGACGCTGCTGATTGAGGATACAATCAACTTTGAAAAGCACTACCACCTGGATAGGCTAGTCAACGGCAGGGCAAGGATCAACATCAGCGCTGCCAGGAATTGGTTCACCAACATGATTGAAGAATTCGGATCGCAATGCTCGCCGCGACCAAGGGCTGGACCCTGCTTCGAGCTTGAAGTATTTACCCGTGCAGTCACAGCCAAGTCTTTTGGGCGAGACGGACGGGCCGGTCTTCCTGAAACCTTTATGCTCGACAACGATCGGCTATGCACGCTGAGGGCCGAAATTGATGATCTCGTCATGTTCGAGGTGTGCATGGATATGTGCATCGCATTGGCGAGGCAATTTGGCTACAACGGGCCCATCACCCTTACCATCGGCCAGCAACTCCGCACCGCCCTCTCTGCGATCATGGGCGAGGCCACCGGCCACGGTGCCCAGCAGTGGATCATCCACTCTGAAGCTCTTTCTCTAGAGATTTTGCGACATGCTTCGCATCTTGCTGGACAGGCAACTACATACAGCCTCGATCGCATGGCTGACGCCAACCAGAGCCTACGTGTCTTGTTTGTTCACAGATCCGCCTATCATGCTGCACGTCTGGAGGCTTCTCTGCTACCCCAAATCATCGCCAACGTCGACCGTCACAAAGCCTCGTCGCCGGTAGACCTCTTCGCCAACCTTGTCTCCATCTCCCCTTCCATGCCACCTCTACCAACACTTGCACGGCCCGGCGTTACTGATACGTTTGCTTTTGCCCATCTGCACCCGGAGACGGCCAAATTGGCCGACATCGCCAACCGCATCACACACATCATACTACTTCACTGGCGCGTATGGGCTCCTATCGCATACATTCACGAAGACGTGTCACGACTCGCTATGCCCTATGCCACTTCACAAACACAGCAACTACAATCGCCCACGAGCTCCGACTCGGGAGCGCCGGTTGCACCAAACATGAAGTCCAAGGAACCAATGGAGCCAGGCCAAGACACGCACATGACGCACCACTCACTTCCACAATAATAAACACGTTTAATGTCTCTCATGTTCAGCATCCTTTCCTCTCTCTCTCTCTCCTCTTTTTTTCTCCGGGCGTTACTACAGGAGCATTTCTGGATGATATACACACACACTCTCGGGGGGCGGTTCTATATATATACCTGGCGTTCCCTTCTTCATCAGGCTCTCCAATTCTTCCTTTTTCTCTTATTAGCTCACGATACCACTGTTTTTCTCGTTGTTGTTGTTGTTGTTCTTTTTGTAACAGCCCTTTTTTTCTTCTCTCTTTCTTCTCTAGGCCCTCGTCTTGTTGATATATGCTTAAACGATACCGTCTTGTAATGCGGCATTTGTTCTTTTTTTTTCAAAGTTCTCTTTTGGGAAGGGGGAGTAGGAAGCGGAGGGTCAAGAAAAAAGGCCAAAAGCGGAGCCTCCCAATCATTGTATTTTTGAGATGTCTTTTTTTCTTCTTTTTTTCTTTCTTTCTTTGACACTTTTGGTTTCGTTGTGTTGTGTTGTGTTGTGTTGTGTTAGTGTAGAAAAACAATTGCATGCATTTCTCTCTCTCGCTCTGTGTTTGTCATTGTCACTCTTGTGTGTGTATTCTTCTTCTTCTTCTTCTGATCTCTGTGTGTCATATACTTTGGTGATGGAGAGATTGACTGTCTGGATTGGCTTGCTGAGTTGCTGAGTTGCCGGCTGTTGGATGTTGAATGCTAGATGTTTGGAAATACAAGCACGCTCAAGCGCACACATGCAATCGCCGCACTGCGAACTAATTGCTTTGTACAATGTCCAAGTAAATCTCTCGCCTCCTCCTTTTTTTTCTTTTTTTTTATCCACATCAACACATCCATCCATCCAGAATCTTATCTGACACTCAAATTATCATCATCATCATCATCATCATCATCGTCGTCATCTTAGCCCGTTCAGCACGTCTATACAGCAAGTCAATCCTCTACTTTTCGCTACCTAGACGCCTGGATTCCCGAGTTCCCTTGTATGTAGTTGTCATAATTTGCTTGTGCATCCATGCATGCATGCATCCATCCTAGCACATGTTCCCAGTCTTATCTTTTTGCGATTTGGAAATTAACCACAGCACAGGCCGTGGGCCTTGTATTTGGCAGACGCCTATCTTGGTTACGATTTGAGGACATGGGTGTTCTTGATGCTGCTGCAATGTGGTTTCGTAGTGAAGTAGTGAGGTAGTCAAGTAGTCAAGTAGTGAGGTAGTGAGGTAGTGAGGTAGTGAGGTAGTGAGGTAGTACAACATCCTACCTAGATTATAACAAGATATGGAATTCAAACGCGATACTCGTTTAAAGATATAAATGTGTTTTATGTTGTGTTATCTGGTAGTGGGAAAGTGTAAGGTGTAAGGTGTAAGGTGTAAGTACCGCTTTCCGCTTGTTAGGATTATAAGTGGGGGGAAAGGGGAAAGGGGAGAGTAGATAGACGATGTAGGATGGGTTATATTGTGTATGTGGGTTTAGTTGTTTTTACTAATGTTTTTATTATAGCTAGCTCTCTCTCTCTCTCTCTCTCTTACACAAACTCTCTCTGCGTGTACGTGTGTGTGTGAGTGTGTGTGTAACACCAGCATACTGCGAACTACGCTTACCATTACGCTCGAGCTGGTGAGATCAAAATGCACTGTAACATTAACATTGCTGGAGCACAGCTTCCACGCGAAATCGCAGCCTGAGATTGTGCGGAACTCCCCCAGGCCAGGGGCAAAACGCCGTTTGTAGTTACGACTGGAATTGCGATTTCTTGTGTTGTTACTTGAGTACCGTGCTGGTGCTCCATGGGGATGCTGGAGTTTACGGGTGTGGGCGTGGTGGCGGGTATGTAGTGTATCTGACATGCATCCATGTAAAAAGGTCGTCGGCGGCAACGGCGATTCAGTCGTTAATCGGTCCGGTGCAGACAGCCAGTCTTTTCGCGCTGTTGCAGAGTGCGGGGGCTGGCGGCGTGGGCCTGGCTGTCGTCAATGGCATGGTGCCGCCGGAGAGAAAGGGAGATTAATACGAGTGGAGAATGTATGGGATGAGGAGGGGTGGGTGAGATCGTGGGTGGTTGTCCTGGAGATGCTCGTGAATCTTCTTGACTGCTAATTCATATTGTGTAGATTTTCCCGATGTATGAGGAGACTGTAAGTACAGAGACTAATGGTCACTTGGGTACATTTGCATATCTCGTGTAATGGGTTATGATATCATTCGTAGATGCACCTAGTCGATAACAAACGCCGGGACGCCCCGCCAATCCAACCTAATATCAAACGATTATGCCGAACTCATCGTATTTTTTTTTAGTTGTCTAACCAATCGAGGAATTCCGGGGTGAAGTAGCTGACTACAATGGATGCACCTGCTCGTAAAATACCCTGGGTTGCCTCCTCTGCCATTTGCCTCAGGCCGAAGACGCCGGCAGCGGCCGCAGCGTGAATCATGGCATACTCACCAGATACTTGGTAAGCTGCGATAGGCATATCCTTGCCGATTTCTTTGGCATCGCTGATAATATCTAGGTACTGGCTGGCGGGCTTGACCATGATAATGTCAGCACCCTCGCCAATGTCTCGTACAATGGCTCGTCGAGCTAGACCACGGCCGCCAGGAGGCAATTGGTAGCATCGCCTGTCGCCGAAAGAAGGTACAGAGCCTGCAGCATCGCGGAACGGGCCATACAAGCAGCCCGAGAACTTTGCGGCGTACGACATGAGCGAGACCTGGTGGGCGATTCCGGCTTCAATGAGCCTCAGCTTGATGGCGCGTATACGGCCGTCGTTCATGTCTGAAGGCGCAACGCAGTGCGCGCCAGCCTGTGCATACGAGAGAGCGACATCGGCAATGCGCTCGACGGACAAGGCATTGTTGAGACTGCCGTCGTCGCGCAGGATGCCGCAGTGGCCGTGTGAGGTGTATTCGCAAAGACAGACGTCGGCGACGATGAACAGATCAGGGAAGGCTCGTCGCAGCAGGCGGATGGCCTTGATGACGGGCCCCTTGGGGTCGTCTGCACTGGTGCCGAGGGCGTCCTTTGCATTGGGTGCGAGCGGCACGCCAAACAGTATGACCGACTTGAGGCCCTTTGCGACGAGGGGCGTGAGATAGGGCACGACCTTGTTCAGGCCTCGGCGGTGGATGTTGGGGAGCGAGGGGATGAGCGTCTCTTCGTCAGGCTGGTCGGAAATGAAGAGGGGGAATATGAGCATAGACTGCGCAGTGCGTTAGTCCACGACATGCTTTTTCCTGCGCAAAGAAGGCGTGCCGAGCGTACCTTGGTCAGCTGCCGCTCCGACTGCCATGCTCGCGAGAGAGGGTGGCTGTAGCCGCCGTGCAATTGACTCTTGATTTCACCAGATATGCTCACGCTCGTGGCCGCCGTGCTAGCGTAAGATCGCGTGGAGCGCGCCTCGGATGCCTGGGAGCGCAGATCTGGTCGCTCTGGCCGCTCTGAGTTGCGGTAGGCAATATCTGAGACGAGGGAAGAAAAGGACATGGCGATGGGCAAAAATTGGGTACTATGGGGCGAATGCGAGGGAAGGCGGCGTGCGGCTGGCGTGCTAAGCTGGGCGTTCTATAAAAGCGGCGGAGAGAAACGCGGACATCCGAGGTGTCAAACTTTCACTCCGGGGGATGGCGGGCACGTATGCAAAGTCAACGAGTGCGAGTACTGGTGAGCGCCACAGAGGACGAGGCACGGCGACAGGCGTCGAGGTGAAGAAGCGCGCAGAATTGCGAGTGGCCACCCACAATTTCCAAAAGGTGTGGCGATAGTATACGCGGATGAATCGCAATCGCAAAAGTTCTCAGCTGATCCGATGACGAATGGGAAGCGGGGAATTACTAGCCATCAAATGCAGTTAGCGTGGGTTAGTCAGCATCGGAAGCCTTGGAAGACCGAAAGGGCAGCATCAAGAGACCTTCACCACCACAGGACCTTGACTCGCTGCAACACAACGCCGTTCCACGTATTTATAAGTGGCCACCGACTACTCCAGATACTTCGGGATGCATGGTTCGCTCAAATTCGCCAGTGGTGGATCCGTCTCAGTCCACAACTGTCCTCGTCCCAGCTGAACTTTCCATCTCGCACCCAGCCTTCGGTCCATGAAACCATTGATTTTACCGTTGGCGAACCTGCAGCAGCCTTCTCGTCGAAGGCTGCTCTCTTTTCGTGCCATGACGTCGTCGCCGTGTGTGCTTTCGCTAGATCGACACCACTTTGGCTGTTGTCGTAGCCCTTCAACCTACGCCCCAATGATTTTATGAGACAGCCGAGTTCTTTGCTTTGCTTTGCTTAGTGATCGCCGAATCTCAAGATGCCTCGCATCGACACGTCCAATGAGTGGAGCATACCCCTTCCGCGGGGATCGACAGATACTGCTGCGGGCATTTCCCCTTCTGTATACAGCCGTGGTACTTGTGGCCTCGGCCCGGTCCCATTCGGCTGGAAGCCATAATTGACGGTTTTCAAGACGTTCAATTTGGTTTCAAACAACCCGGCAACGTTCGCAACAGGTGGGCTGAACCTGGTCCACGCCCATGGCGCGCCAGTGGCGACAGCAATCCTGCACCTGGCTGCAATAGTATTGACGATGCTCGCGACCAAGGAAAAAAAAGGGGATTGGTGCTTTGCATCGTGGAAAAATCAAGTCACTGTGCAGAATAAGGGGACAAAAGAGGACTAAAAAGCAAAACCAGGCTTGTCGAGGCTGACGTACATGATATGGGGGCGGGGCAAGATCCTTTATCCGGCTTATCATACTGTTGTCATCTTGTCGAATAGGTGGCGTCCGCGGGTTGAGCTCCTATTCAGCTCATGCAGCCCCAGACTGATGGGTTGAATGAAAGGCATTGTTTGTTTCACGCTCCAAGCCTCGCCAAAGCTGTCGTGAGTGCGCTCTGCCAAAAAAGCAACATGGTTGAGTGTGATCGGTACACTAGCTACGAGACGGAAGACTGGCTAATCACTGCAAAACGTTTTCCAGCCAACTGGCCTACACCACCCATATGTCTGCTTTTCGTCGCTTCGAGTCAAACGCCACGAAACTATGGACGCCACCCCAGATTCCAAGACCCTTCGATCATGTCAGTTACTTCAATCAACCCTACAAGCTCCCGTTCCGCGCTGTACGTGACAGCGGCGCCAACACGGGGCAGCGCACTACTACCCGCAGCCCGTGCCGTGCTACGCATGCTCGGACAATGACATGAAAGCGTATGTGATGTGCATGATCCACAAAAGACATATAAACGCAATCCGGCACGCTGGGTGGCACGATTCATGGTCACCTAACTTTTGAAGTTTTGTTCCGTTAGCCATGCCTCAAGACTTGCGGCCCGCCATCATTGGCGTCAATACGACCTTCATCTTCCTTACCCTAGCGGCTATTGGCTGTCGTGTTGCCAGGAAGTTTCGTATGCTGAGCAGTTTCAGCTGGCATGATGGTAAGTTTACGGTAGACATGCCTTGGTTAACCATGTGGCTTTACTGACAGACGCAAGGTCTTGCTGCTTTCGGAGCACTCTGCGCCATCATCTTCTCGATACTACAGATAGTCGGTACACGTTATGGCGGCGGTGTGCCCATGGCACAAGTCCCATCTGAAACAGTAACACCCTTTTTTAAGGTTCGTCTATACATCCCCTCTTTTCAACATCTCGTACTAACGCGTTGTGTGAAAAGCTGGTCATGGGCTCGCTGTTCTTCTACTTCTTGTGCAACTGGGCCGTCAAGCATTCACTGCTTTTCTTCTACTCGGAGCTTACTTTCGAACGCTGGCACCGCCAATTCATCTACATCATGCACGCTTTGGCTTTTGGATTTGGCCTGTCGTGTTGCATCATCGGCATCTTCCAATGCATTCCCGTCCAAAAGTTGTGGGACAACAGTCTCGAAGGACATTGCATCGACGCCGCAGCATTCGGCTACTACAACGCTATCTTCATGCTTCTCAACGACATTGTCCTCTATATTATGCCAGTAATATTTACCTGGAACGTTTCCCTACGCCGCTCGCACCGCATTGCCGTAAACTTTCTGTTTGCACTCGGCGGCCTAGTGCTAGCCGCCAGTGCTGTACGTGTGTACCTTACGGATCAGCAATTCAAGAATCCCGACTTTACTCTCCGCTACCCCTCGGCTATGATCTGTGCCGTGATTGAAAATCACCTTGCCGTCATCGTCTCCTGCGCGCCTAATATCAAAGCCGTCCTGCTGCACTTCTGCCCGGGCCTGTCTACCAAGTTCGACAAGATGGTCAGCAAAAGCGATGCCCAGCGGTACAGGTACAAAGGCGGCTACCGAAGCAACCGCTCTGCTACTCTCGATATCGCAGCCTCAGGAATCGTCGAGATGAAGGACGTCGAGGTCAGGGTCGAGAAACCCATGCTACCCAGCTTTTTGTCGACGGACGGAAGTACCAAAAGCGGAAAGGATGGAAAGAGCAAGGATCAGTGGTGGCGGGCACCTAATAATTGGGCTATTGAGTCCACGACGACTACCGTTACGTCTTCTTCTCAAACATGACCACTTCTCAGGTCTGTTTATTTTCGCACACGTGTAGATGGATTTGCGTTAAACTCTCATTTTTTGTCTGTGAGTGGGTTCGTTCATATTCTCCAACATATTGTCTAGTGTATCATTATACCTTCACGTATCATACATACATCTCCCTCCAAATCCAAGATAACTTCATCCCCCCCCCCTTTTTTTTCAGAATTGTCATGTTGTGCCAGACGTTGTCAACTCGAGAAATTCGGAGTGCCAGCACTGCAAGTCGTTGATATCCCCGGTTGCGCAGGTTGCCAAAGACGAACCTCCTCCCTCTCCTTCATTTGACGTTCCTTTTTGTGTTCTGGCTTGCAGCCAAGACAAAGCAGCCTCCTGATACGCGCGGAGAACTTTTTCCGCCGTGATTCTTTGACAGCAACCAATTCCTCTTCCTCTTCATTCTCTTCCACAACAGTCGGAGTAGTCGTCAAAATGATGGCAGAGAACCGGGGTAGCGCAGTGAGACTCGGGTCCAGTGATGCGCGCAGGCTCACCAGACTCGGTTCACGCAGGCGGTAGATAAAGGCCGATGGACATGGGCTCTCTCTCTTATCGTAGAAGAGCATCGAGTTGATGGGGAGGTTTTGGCGCGAGTTGTTTGACTGCATTGTGGAAAACGAGGCGGTTTGTAGAAACAAGGATACAACAGTAGTGCTTTTGAATAGAAACAGCAGAACTCCACGTATGAACTGCTGTTTATGTGTGTGGGGAGAGACGACGGGGGCCTGACTACCGGAATCGGCGCATTAAAAAGAGGTTTTATTGATTTGAGTCAGGGTGGAAGACGGTATACGTGTCGAGTCGTGCAAGACGCGCGGACGAACATGTCTACATATCTGTTTTACGTCTATAGCTTCCAAAAGAGGGGGTGTGGTTGCGATCGCCGAGTCGTTGTTTCGCATTTTGAATCGGCTTAGCGTTTGCCTGTATAAACAAACGTCAAGGGCGGTCAGGCTTAAAGTCCCCCCTTAATACTGTATTTAGTGCATTTTCCGCGCCCGAGGGGGAGGCAAACTTTGCAAACGACATTTTGCTCGGCTTTCCCTTTTTATTTACGTGAATCTAGCGGAGTTGGGTTGCGTGTGCAGGGATCGCGTTTTGGGCTTGAATAAGGTTTTGGATGTAACGGCGAAAGTTCCGGAAACGAAGACTATTTATAGTGTTTGAGGATTTACATTTTGCTTGTCTCTTTTGGTGGTGGAATGGCGGCTTTGTGACGAAGTTAAGCACAGCACTGGGGCGCCAGGAGCAGAAATTAAAAGGATGATGTGATATGTAGGGGTCCAACAAAAGGGACAGGAACGGTTTTGCCCTTGGCAATACAGTCAGATCAATTAAGTTAACGCCTGTCTTAGAGTCAGTACTGAAACAGGATTTGGTGCTAGCCCTGACATGACTTTTTACGTAGCACACTATGTCGATCACAGAACGGAACGCTGCGGATGACACACTGACTGGTCACCTCGTTGGGACTTTGCATAACGAACCTCTCTGCACATCGGTGAACGTTGAGATCGGGAGATATGCAGCACAAGACGTTTTCCCCAGATTTGTCTAGATCTGGGGTAAACATCCAGCCAGTAGCAACGGAAACATTTGTACCACCAATCATGTGGTGCCCCGCATGCATCTGCCCACCATTCTATTTCCCCACAGCACAGATTGCGGTACTTGAGGAAAGGTTTAACCCGAGATTAGCCTCCACATGTAGCCGCGACGGAAAAACTATTGGCATCGATCGAATGGCGAGGCTGGGCACTCTTTTTGCTACATGCCGCGAGTCCAACATACTCTAATAGGAGTACGGTGGGGTATTCAACTACGCTACGGACTGTTATTTGATTATGAATCAACGTGTCGACATTATATACTGCAGTCAATTCTAGAGTAAATTTCTTACAGGCAATGATGTACTAGTATAGCATGCTTTAAACCGTAAATGTATGTTGTGGTTTTTGTAACCAGGGTAGGCTGCCTAGATATATGTCAGAAATCTTTTACCTAGCGTACTCAATGCCGTAATTACAGCTTTGACTGTAATTACAGTCTAGTACCGCTGATTAACCAGAGAGATTAAAACAGAGTCATGTACTAATCAATATCAGTCTTGTTTGCCAAGCTGTCTAAAATAAGTAGTAAGCCCCATTGGGATCCGCAGCCGTAGTACAGCCGTACTCCCTTCCAAGACGACGGCTACGTTACGGCTCGAACAGGCCGTAGTATGTTCCTTTTGCATAAACTTAATTTACAGTCTATTGGAGGCGTTGGGTATAAGTACCTGTCAATCTCCTGCGAAGTAAAAGTCATCACCGATTGAGCACCATGAAACTTCACATCTCGCTACCGGCTATCTTAGTCTCTATACTAGGCCTTGTCGCCGCCGACAAAACCGTGCGAACAAGCCCTGATCGAGGCGCTCTGGTCGTGGACGCATCAGGCGCATACACCAACAGCTACCGCACCATCAGTGCTGCCGTAGCAGCCCTTCGCGACACGACCGATGCCCAAAAGATATTCATCTTCCCCGGTACCTACACCGAGCAGGTATACATCGATAAGCATAAAGGCCCCATCACCATCCAGGGCTACACGCCAGATGCCAGGGACTACAAGAATAACAAAGTCACCTTGACCTACAACCTCTCGCGCCTAACCCCCGGGCTGGCCAACAACGATCTGACAGCAACCCTTCGCCTCTGGACGCAGAACATCAAAATCTACAATCTCAACGTCGCCAATACAGCCGGTAAAGGGGCACAAGCTCTCGCGCTCAGCGCCCAGAAAACCGACCAGGGCTTCTACGGCTGCAAGTTCACGGGGTACCAGGACACCATTTACGCGAACCAAGGCCGCCAGATCTACGCGAAATCGTATGTCGATGGAGCGGTCGACTTCATCTTTGGGCTCTGGGCAGTCGCGTGGTTCCACAAAGTCGACATTGTGACTACAGATGTTGGCTTCATTACTGCCAACGGACGCGCAAGTGCAGACGGCCCGAGCTTCTACGTTTTCAACCAAGTCAGTGTCACGGGCACCAGTGGGCCCGGCAGCACTGTTCTAGGACGCCCCTGGCGCCCGTACAGCAGAGTCATGTTCCAGAACAGCTATCTGGGCGACGTGGTGAAGCCGACTGGGTGGGAGAAATGGGACTCGGTGCAGAGTCTGGATAACATTGCGTATCAGGAGTACAAGAACTCTGGACCTGGCGCCGGTACGTCGAACCGGGTGCCGTGGAGTTCGCAGGCTAGTGCTGCAATCAAGGCGTCGGATCTGTTTGGCTCCAAGTATGAGAAGGAGAGTTGGGTGGATATGGACTACTTGTAGATAGATTGGTCATGTTGCATTGCTCGTGGGTTCCTGGGAAGCTAGTGATTGATCCTGGTATCAACTTCCCACCGGCTGCTTTATGTATACTGCCCTGTTCATTTCTTGTGTTTAATTCTTAGTATAGTTTTCTCCATATATACTTGCTCATGTCTGCTTTGATATTTCTTCTCCAAATTACAATCTACTATCATCAACGCAGTTTCTCTAGCTTCAACCCCCTTATTCAGCGTCAGGCGCATCAAGCACAGCCTTGTCTGACCTCACATTAGGAAACAGCCTCCACGGTACATCCTCGGGCCAAGTCGGCCACAGCGTACTGCTCGGCGTAATCGACCGCGAGATCGTACGATCGCCCGCTATCAACGATTGCCTATCACCGTAGATCTCCCGTACCAACTTGATATTTGGAAACGGCTCAAAGTCGGATCCAATCCAGTCAAGCTCCCGCAAGACGAGCTGGTACTTCATATCCGAGTACGCAGTCCAGAGCTGGCGGCCAACATAGACGTAGTAGTGTACTTCCCACTCGGTGGCCGTGTCGTCGGCCATGATGTTGAGAAGGTCTTTAAGGGTGATGCGCTCGTCCTGATGGACCATGTTGCGCCAGTCGAAGATGAGATGGTCGAGGTGCACAATCGCTTTGCGCTTTCGACCGTCGTTACTCAAGTGCGCAAAGTTCTGCTTGGAGGCAGTGCACCAGATAATCAGTGCTTGGCGTAGGACGCCATATATATTAGACACGCGCAGGTCGATTTTAGGTTGGAGGTCCCCCGAGTATGGAGAGGGCTCGTGGTAGACGTGAAGATGTAGATGTGCGTGTGTGAACGAGGTGAGGCCGGTGAAGACGGTACTCTGGAGTGCTGGTAAGGTTGCGCTTCCCGTCTTGTATATATGAGAGACCAGTTTGTTGAGGTTCCAGTGCGCCATAATGGGAATATAGGCCGTGGTTTGGGTTTCGAGCTTCGAGCAAACCTCGACTGTGATTTGCTTGCATAGACGTAGCAAACTCGCACCCTTGGAGAGAGACTCGTGTCCGTCACTGGGGCAGACGACGCGAATGTTTGATGCAGGATCCTGGTCTATTCCCAATGCGAGCTCATATATCTTGTTGCGAAGCTCACCCGGAAGACGTAGGAGCAAATTTGTCTCCTGCTTCTGTCCAGTATTGCTAACATGCGCCCTGGAATGGCGGGCCCTCCGAACTGCCCCTTCGACTTCCTCGACATCAATGCTAGTCTCAATATCGATACGCCTGCCAAATTTTGATTCAAGGTTAAAATAAGGACGGTCAGACTCCATTTTGTTGAAACCAAGAATGTGGTTGGGCTTGCTTTTGGTCAGGAGCTGTGCGTAGCTACCTTTGCCCTGACGCTGCCAGCAATGAAAGTAGATGGACTAGAAGTGATAAGTCAGTTTCTAGTATTTCGTAAGTAGACCTAGGAGTGGTTCAATCGAGCACGTACCAGTATATAATGAACTGCTGGAGAAGTTATCGAAAAGAGGGGATTGGGGTTTGAGGGGTTCCGATGAGCTTCGGCCACTATTTGGGTTTATGATGTGGATATTGTTTGTTTTTTCCAAACTAGTTTCACTTGTTGGGCTTGCTGACCTGATTTGATAGGCATAGCGCTCACAGCTCATGAAGTCATTCAGCTATTCCATTGAGTGGCTCACTACAGCGTGGTTCAGCTGAGCTAGCGTTTCCTTGTCGGCCACGTAGTGCGCTAGTATTTGCTTTGTACGGCTAGTTACCATATTCGCGCAGTCCTTGGATTCATAGTCATATATTAGATGTGGTGACAGGAGTGTGTTATTCCAATCGAGACAGCTAAGCATAACCGGCAGTACACAATTCTGCAAACCATTCGTATTTCCAGTTTTTTGAAGCCAAATCTGCAGATAATTATACCAAAATTGATGTTTTTGCTCAGCAGAATATTTGAGGCACTCTCAGGTTCATGCTCTCGAGTTTGAAATGAGCTATGTGAGCCTCTCGTATGCAGGGATAGTAAAAATCCACATCGTGGTAGCCGCTGTTACACAATGAAACATTATTACGGCAAATAGAAAATATTGACATTTCTTTTTTCTAATAACTTGGATTAATATGTGATATGTAAAGAGAGTTAGGCGCGAACGGGCCCGTATTACTGACGCTCGGCTATACGGTTTCATGATGACGTTCTTGGAGCATCACGAGCACGTCAACTCGAACTTCAATCAACATACAACAATACTTCTACGACACCTTAAGTACTCAAACTGGATTATTTTTAACATCTCACAAACACTCATACCAAAAAATGTCCTCGAGAATCCTACGAAGCTTTTCGCGCCAAGCGCCCTTTGCCAATCACGCATTCCCGCAGCGAAGCCAAGGTATGCATGCACAATGCATTGATGACGGGACGCTTGCTAATCAACAACACCAGTTCTCGCACCGGTCGTTTCCCGCACGTATGCCAGCAGTGCTGCGCCTGGGCAGGCATCCAACGTCTCAAATCCACAGGCGAGCAGCCCTGAGAGCCAGGACATCAACAAGAGCGCTTCCGTTGGACGAACCGACAGTAATGATGCCGACCACGCATCGATACAGAACCCAGTTAGTCATCCAGAAAATGACCGAGTAGGAATGAGCGAGGAGACGACGGAGAGCCAGGACAACATGAAGCATGATCCGAATGAGTCGGATGCGAAGAAGAGGGAGAAGACGCTAGAGTATGGCCAGAACAAGCCTCTGGACCCGGCTGATAAGTAGCTGTCATCACTGAATAAGCCGTGTATTATGTAATGTACTATAAAGACAAGATATTTAGAAAGAAGAGCACATCCAATCTAAGCGCTAGATCATGATGCGTCACGGTTTAATCCTTTGGCATGTCGTCATAGTCTTAGTATTCATGACTCGAGGTAAACTCGGGATAAGTTTCACGTCGCCTATTTGCAAGTTCCCTAGTAACTCTTAAGCAATGCCTGCATGTTTCAAATGTTGGGCTGATATATATTATCTATTCACTACTATTATGCACACTACTGCGTTGTGAAATGTGCTGTGTCAGCACCTCGAATTCATGCATAAAACAAATATATGGTCACAACCAGGATCTTGTCTGATATACGCTGATATTGCCACCACCCCAATAGTCACACCATGTGACGCCTCCCAAGCGAGGTGTCGATCTTAACATACGCGTTTTTATACCTATCGCTGTAACTATGTAGTTTACTTAGTACAGTTCCATCGAGAACTCGACTTGGCACTGGGCTATAACAGCAGCTACAGAACTGAACTGATGCCAGGAATCACACTAAAGCACCCATGCTTTTCACAACTAAGCAGTGCAGCTCCATTTTTTTCCACAACTCCTTGGCATTGTGAATGTAGCAGTTCCAGCGACGCTGGGCCACCGGAAACAAAGACTCAACCAGGAACCATTGCCGAGTTAAAATAAAAAAAAGGGCGCCAGCATCCGCAAGCATCCGTTGGCAAGGCCCTGTTACCGCCGGCAGCATGGCCCCTCGTCTACTCCTCACACAATCTGACACCCCGTTTGAGAGGCCCTGTTCACCACCAGAGAGACATACTTATCTGCACGAGCACCCAGTCCCATCACACGTCTCCGCTGTGAATCAAAAGAGGATTTTTCCTTCTGGGCAGCGCCTCAGGGACTCGTCGAATCTCCTTTCACAGCGGGTACCCGGTTGGAAGCGCAAAAAACAAGTAACTGGTAGGATGATGCCTGGGGACGGGGTTTCTTGGCTGGATGTTTCGAAACCCGCTGCCAAACATGTGCATGCAGAGCAAAGGCGGACGCTAGTGTTTGGGACATTGCCGACTCCACCAATGGCATCCATGACGGTTGGCTCCTTGGTGGCCTTGGCTTTCCCATGTCCTTGCTAGCTGTTCATGCCTCGCTCCCCTAATCAACCCCACTCTCCCATGTTTGTGTTTGGGGCGGGAGATGAACTGCGATGCGTCCCCCCCCCATCATCGATGGAGCTCGGTTGGAAGTATTCTGGCATGTCTTTTTGTTTTTTCGGAGGGATTGCTGGATTCGGTCGTTAGCGGACGTACGTAAGTAAAGGTAAGTAAAGGATTTTTGTGTTGTGCCTCAGGCATAAAGGCATCCAAATCCCACTACCTTCTGTTTTGTTTCCTGTTTCTTCACCACGCTGCATTCGTTGTTTTGACACATTCTCTCTCTTTTTTTCTTCTTCTTCTTCTTCTTATTTTCCCCCAAAGGCTTTTGGTTCCTTTGCTACATTCTTTTTCACCGCCCACAGACACAGGAATGTCTTTTTACTACTCTCTTTTGGGTGCGGCGGGCCTGCTCGCCCAGCACGTCAGCGCCTACACCCAAGTCAACGTGCCGTCGCCATTTATGCAGAAAAACATCGATCCGATCGTGTTCCCTGGCTCCTTCACCAAGTCGCATCTGCACTCGTTCTACGGCTCCGACGCCGTCACTGCCAGCACAAAGACGAGCGCCGAGCTGCAGAAAGGCTGCACCAACGCTGAGCTCCCAGACGACATGAGCGTCTACTGGACACCCACCGTGCTGTACACAACGGACGGCGGCAAGAGCTACAAGCCCGTGCCCGTGATGCGTTTCAGCGCATACTACAACCTGGGCGAGACGCCCGCCGAAGTCGCCATCCCGCAGAACGTGCGCATGGTGGCAGGCAAAGCCGAAGCCCAAACCCAAGCAGCCATGGACCCCAACGCAAAAGCCACCTGGTTCTGCGAGGGCGACGAAGCCAGCGCGCTCGACGCCAACGGGTTCCCCAGCAAAACCTGCTCGACCCATCTGCAGCAACTCCTCTACTTCCCCTCGTGCGTCAACACAGAAACCCTGGAAACAGGGTACAAAGACCGTGCCCACGGCACCTCCAACTGGTGTCCCGCAGGCATGAAATCCATGCCGCAGCTCCGCTTCTCCATCCGCTACGACCTGCGCTCCGTGCTGCCCAACGGCTGGTCCGGCACCGCGCCCGTCAAACTGGCTTCTGGAAACGCCTTCTCGTCCCACGGCGACTTCATCAACGGGTGGACCCCCGAGGCCGCCGAGAGCATGGTCCAGACTACAAAGGACAAATACCATTTCCTGCCTATCACGGGCGTGACCAAGTCGGGCTCCCCCGCGTGCAAGCCCAAAGACGCGGATCCCTCGCACGGCACAAGCGACTATGCGCAGAGTGTCGCGGCCATGTCGGGCAAGCGCAGTGTCAAGGCGTGGGGCTGGGAGTCGAGATCGAGGTTTGCTCGCTCGCCTTCAGCGGGGTTTCTACCTTTTTTCTAAAATGTATATATTAACTAGCCTTGTTCGGCTGCTGCTGCTGTTGCTGCTGTTGCTGCTGCTGATGTGTGGTAGTTGTAGCGTGACAAACTATATTTACCGTGTGCCAGCTGCATTCAGCGTACAAGTACTCATTTGCAAATAACTGGTGCTGATTGCCATGTGAATCTTTGCTGTGCTGTTCTTCCATGTTTCCAGTGTTAAAGCTGGTGTATCTTTGCTTGGCTCACAAAGCGAACTCATTCCACTACTCGTAACCAAGTCGATATTGTACATATACAGCATGTATCCTACCTACCCGAGTAACATTAGCGTGAAGCTTGTGATTCGGAGTGCCTAGCCATTAGTCATTAGTCGCAGTACCATGGTAACACATGTATACACAGCCAATGTGCGCATTCCCTGGTAAAAGAGAGACGGACATGTAGACATCTAGAGAGAGAGAGAGAGAGAGAAAAAAAAAAGACATCACTCAGACACTGTAACAATACAGAAAGCCACGGTAACAGTTGCAAAAAACCCCAGTTTAATAATATACTCGGATTCAACTATGCATCAAAGCCAGCAAAGCAGCAACTACACTTGGGCATTCTAGTGCAAAAACTCCTTGAAAAAGTTAACAACGCTCCTCTTTGCGCGCTCCAGGCCCTGCTTCTGCTTGGGATCATTGAGATCGCCACGCGCCGCGAATCCATGGACAAGGCCAGGGAAATAAATGTACTCCCACTGGACGCCCGTCTTGGGCAGCGCGACAAAGGTATACTCCTTGAGCTCCTGGGTGTATGCAAAGTCGTGTTCGGGGCTGAGGATCTGGACGGGCACCTTGATGTTATCGAGGTCCTGTTTTTCGAGGAGTGACGGGTGTGCGACGGCGACGGCGTCGACGAGAGAGGGGTCGGCGCCTAGCTGGAAGGCGGCCCACGCGCCGTAGCAGAAGCCAATGACGCCGAGTTTTTTGTACTGCGACCGCAGCGTCTGCGCGTGCTCTTTGATGGCGGGCCAGCGGATGTCGCGGCTGTGGCGCCCGATGAAGGCGCCCACGTCGAAGTTCTTCTGCTTTTCTGGGTCTGACAGCGCGTCCGGGTCGACGACTTCGCCTTCGAATCTGGGCGCACACGCTATGGTTAGAATAACGTATACATGCATACTTAGACGGGCGCGCGCGCTTTCTTACAAGTCAGGAACGTAGACGGTTGCATTGGCTTCTTGCGCGTAGTGGTCGGCAATCAGGCGGATGTTGGGAAGCGTCCAGCCGAAGATGTCGGTTACGATGAGGATAGCAACGTCCTTGTTGTCGCCCGTCACGTAGGCATTGGCCTTGTTGAGCGTCGTCTCCTTACCGACCGACTGGCCGTTCCACTTGAATCCGCTCTTGCAGGCGTCGCACGACATGTTGCGTTTTGGATTGGCAAAGGTTCAGAAATGTGCAAGGGAATGTTTGAGGCGTCGCAATCGAAGGCTGTCGGCGAGAAAGCGGGGCAGCGCACTTCTTTAAGTTGGTGAAGACTTTGGAGTGGGGTAGCCCTGGCCTTTCGCGCCCCCACTGCGTACATGCACTTGGAGTATACAGTATCCAAGTTGATAGTGAATCTGGCCAGTCAGCCGCGGCACCCGCCAATCAAGGAGCGTAGAAACTGCATCATCAACTCGTAGTGCCCTGTCCTGTCGCGGCTGTATTCCGCAATGACGACAGACTTTGCCGGCATTAATAATGTGCTGACTTTAACCCCGAGGTCTCGACTGCCGAATTATGCCGAGCGATATTTTGGACAGTTTGGATATCTGGCGGTCAGGCCCTGAGGCCTTGTCCTTGTCCAGTGTGGAGGTCGCATTTCAACAGATGGTCTTAGATAAAAAGTCGTGTAAACAAAACCACGCAAAGCAATGGCGCATCTTGTGGCGTTGATGCAGCTTCGGATACACCGGATTACAAACACCAAACCAACGGCTTTGGGTATAACGAGGCCTTGGCTGGTTATCACAAACTATGCAGATCTTACTAATATAGAGCTGGATAGAAGCTTGTGGCGGGATGCTGCAACACGTCGTCCGAACGCACGCATCTTGTGTGAGACGTTGGAGGAGTCGACCAAAGCTGCTTTCGACGTCAGATCACAGGGGATGAGAAGGAGAGAACAGAGACTACATTCATGACGTTAGCCATCTTGTACAGATAATCTTGCCTTCACGAAATGCTCCAGTACTCATGCAAGCCAGATTCCGGTTTAAACAAGACCTCGTCGTTAGAGCAAAGAGCACTCACAACTCAACTTGCCCTTTTGTCTAATCCTGCTTCCTCAGCATATTGCCAAGGTAGCCAATTCACGTCCTGAACTACACATCAGATAGCCGTGAAGAGTGATTCACAGCTTAGCCAGCCGCCTCTCCGCATCCGGGTTCCAAACCTGTACCTCGTGACAGTCACGCCCATCCATCAGAAAGAAGCGTGGACCCAGTGTCTTTTTCTGGACTTTTCCCGTCGCCGTCTTGGGCAGCTCACCGCTTACCACGCGCAGAAGCGTCGGTATCTTGTATCCCGCCAGTCTGCCACGAAGGTCCTGGCGAAGCCTATCGAGACTCAACGAGCGTGCAGCAGCATTGGACTCTTTATCCAAAGAAGCAATTGCCATATCCTCTTCTTGCAGCGACACAAGCGCCGCGACGCGTTGCCCGAACTCATCATCTGGCACACCGACGACCATGGCTTCGGCAATATATGGCAAGCTCAGCAGCTCTCTTTCAATGTCTAGCGCGGAGATCTTGTAGCCGCCTGATTTGATGATATCGAGAGACGCTCGGCCGATGATGAAGTAATACTTTCCTTGTTTGCGTGCGAGATCGCCAGTCTTAAAGTATCCGTCTTTATCGTGGGCGCTCGCTGTAGCTTCTAGATCACGTAGGTACTTCATAAACATATGCTACTTTGATAAGAACAAGTTCCAGCAAGATTACAACGACATACCGGACTCTTGACGAGTATCTCTCCTTCGCTGCCTTCAGATAGCTTCACATCCACACCGCTGACGAGTTGGCCTACCGAGCCATCAGGAGTCTCTTTGTCTCCGAGGCGCATCTTGAAGATTGCTCCAAACTCCGTTGCGCCGTATCTCTGCATAATCCTCTGCTGCATGAGGTCTGCCCAAAAGTCGTTTAGTGGCTGGGGTAATGCTGATGTACCGCACAGACAGGCTCGGAACTGGCGTGCGCCTGCAATGTATGGACCCAGTTCGTGCGCAGGCAGCTTGCTCAAATGACGCTCATAGTAACGCCTCATCCGCATCCACATGGTCGGAACCGCAGAGAAGAACGTCAGCCGCCTTGATAGACTAGCTGCCCCCTCCTTCCAGCGCCCCCATGTCCAAGCCTCGTCGAAACCCCCGCTACGGAACTCTATGCGGCTTCCAGAAATGAGAAATGGGAAAAAGTTAATGCCGACGCCTGCTGCATGGTGTACTGGCAGCAGGTGCAGTATGACGTCGTCTTCAGTCAACCGATAATGGTCTGCTACCGACAAGGCACAGTCGAAGACGTAAGATCGCCGCATCACGGCGCCTTTGGGCTGTCCAGTGGTGCCACTTGTAAAAATGACGACAGCGGGCGCATTTTCCTCCAAGGCGCGATCCGAGGAAATGACTACATTCTCCGCACCAAGCGTTGGAGGTGAGGCGAACGGTCCGATTGGCACTACTTGAAACTGCGGGTTGCTTGTAGAAGAAATGCGCTGTTCCAAGGCGCGGCACTTGCTAATGTCTGCAGAGCTGGCAAGGACAAGCGCTGATCTTGACTTTTCAACAAAGTAGACAGCTTCTTCGACAGGCAGCGCAGGCGTCATGGGCACTGCGGCCGCTCCAAGCGCCAGTACCGCGAGCATTGCCACGGTATACTCGTAGCCACCTGGTGCTACGATGGCCATGTACACCTCGCCCCTCTTTTCCAGCGATTGGCATGTTCGGCGATCCAGGGTACGGAGAAGGGTGTTTCGCAAGGCCAAGACATCCGAGAGCAGGTCAAGGTGAGTCTTTCGCAGCTGCATACGGGCATCCTCGATGGCGATGCGCGGGGGCGTCCGGCTGGCGTATCGGAGGAGCCGACTGAACAGAGGCTGCGCGCATGTCAGCACTCAGCATGCATCGAAATAGCCGCTTGGGGAGGCGATGGGTTCGTACGGTGTTTGGAAGCACATGGCAGCCCACGTGCCTGGGTACCGTTGAGCTGCGGTCCTCCATGTCGGTGCTGTTGCTATTACTGCCTTGGTGGCCTGGGGGCCTGGGGAAGCACCTGGGTGCCCTTGGCGACGTGCATCTTTTGCACGTGTGCCCAGGATAAGCCGCACCGTACTGGTACTAACGGGTTGCGGGAACGAGTCGTGTGTGGGGTGTCATGACATTTCAGGTGCAGGGTGTCGTCCTAGTCGATCGTGGCACGAGATCCGGCGGGGGAGACTCCCGTGGCCGTCCCCGCAGCCAGTCGCTCCGGGCGCTAACAGCGGGACAAGGCCGCTCAACTGTTCCCGTAGTGCATATCAAACGTCGTCTAAAACTTGGTCTTGGACTCGGTCAGTCATGATTAGACTTTTGTACCTGTCCGTGACATGGCCTTGCCCCACATGGGCCACACACGACATCAAAATTGTGGCCGGCAGACGCCGCTGTGTTGAACTCCCCCGAAAGGCTGTCCTCTCAACAACCGTCTGTTGAGACTTTGCCGTGGAAACATGGCTTCAGCCAAATCAATGGCATGCCCAAGGGTTTCAGGAGAAGGAAAACTCCCGAGGACCGTGCTGCATCCTTTGGTCACTCGGTCGGGCATGCCGGAATTGCCATAATTTCCGGTCCATGTCCATATACTCGGAGAAGGGCTTATCGACGATTGCATTCCCTCTCAAAAGCCGACCCCGGCTGACGCATAACAAAGAAGGCACTTGCCATGGCGTTCCGGTCAGCAGAAAAGTATGTATGCGGCGGCCACTCCCAGGCTGCCTCAGACATGTACACAGTCATACCATTGACAGGCCACCGTACCTGGTCGTCGTCGTCGAGCCACTTACAAGCCCCCCTTTTTTTTCCGAACCTAAATTTTTTTTCACGGCACTGTCGGCGGTGTATGACTGTATAAAGCCCAATTACCCTTGTCGCAGGGCACCAAGAGAACTTGGGTACGTTGGAAACATTACGTATGGGTTCGGAGCTGAGGCCTGGCTGGAATCCGTCCGATTGCTCAGATTAGCTCGGTGGTTTCTTCGCGCATGGCGCATAAGGCGTCTCGCTTGCTGGGCGCCGCTGTCGTGGCACAGAGAGTGGGACGCTTATGTATGCTCACTGATGTCAGCCACAACGACTGCAGCCACACTGGCCTGGTGTGCTCCGGTCAAGATTTCTTGTTCGATTGTTTGGCTCCCATGGCCGGACATGTTTGCTGGCATCACATGCTGGTCGTGACCCACCTGGGGGACCGGGCCACGTGCAACGTGTCTCCGTATGTAGACATGTACCGATCAGATGACGTATGGCTGTGCAGGCGCTGGAAGGTTTGGCATGATACCTCACACCGCTATGCAGGAGCAGCTATTTTGGAGGAGCATAGCGGGGCCCTTATGACACAGGGCTGGGCTCGAATACGTTGCAGCTGGGGTCGCCAGTGGTGCGCCGGTGGTGCGCGTGCACAGGTACAGGCATGCGGCCGCCTAGTTAGCGGTAGTGGTAGGGCTCCAGATTTCCGTTACGGACGTGGGGAGGGGGCCAAGGGAGCGGCGATCGAAGGGCATGCTGGCTTGATCGTGTTTGTGCTAGTCCATGGGCAGGCGGTAATTTGCAAAGCGCCACGCTGGGCCCAAAAGAAGCTGCCTCGACAGCACAACGGGGGCCCAGTGTTTGCAAGCGACGAGATGAGACGCGACGAGGCAGCGAAGAAGAAAATAATATAACGACATGCATGCGAGTGGCCCCTGCCGGCCAAGGGGGGGGCGAGGGCGAGCGAGAGCGAGGGCGAGGGCGTGGGCGAGGGCGTGGGCGTCCGTCAGCAAGGAACGACACAGAAGATTTTGGAGGCGGCGTGGGTAGTGTGTGTGCACATGGCCTCCAGCCTCGAACCATGAGGCCGAGCCAGGCAGGAAGAGGCGAACAAACAAATTTTCGCACACCCCTTGCGGGCGGTCCCCTGGCGGGCGCGCAGGCACAGGCCCAAGAGACGCTCTGCGAACGCTGGCACTCGCGTGTGGGCTGCAGCTGATGGGCGGCGGGCGCGTGTAGTGGCGGCGGTGGTGGGCGTGTAGTGGGCGTGTAGTGGGCGTGTAGTGGACGCGGTAGTGGTCGTGGTAGCGGCAGTGGCAGTGGCAGTGGCCGTGGCCGTGGCCGTGGCAGTGTGGGCTCCAGGGCAAGGCGGCCGGGGAAGACGGAACGAGACGTGTCTGGCGGCGTCGAGGGAATGGTAGCGAGTCGTCGATAGGGCAGGCCGGCGGGGAAGCGGGCGGCGGGCATGGCGTAGCCGCACAGATGTTTCCGGATGCGGCCATGGCACACTCGGTCCGTGGGAAGTGGGTGGGCCAGTGCCGCCCTCCCGCCGTCACATCAGGCGCAGCTCCATGGGGCCTTGCGGTGAAGGGGTAAATTGACCTCTCGTGCTGCGTCGCTCGTCGTTGTGTGTTTGTCCACCTCTTCCCGACACCGCGCCATGTGTGAATGACTCCGCCCCAAGCCTCGTATATATATTCCGTTTTGGAGAGACGCCGCCCCCAGCCATGCCCCTAGACCTCCCCCTAGTAATGAGCAGAAGCCGGCTGCTGGGCTCTGTCGCCGCCTCCGCCCCGCGCCTCCTCACCATGCTCACCAAGCCCGAGGCCCCGTCGAGCCGGACAAAGACGTTCCAGCTGTCGTGCCTCGACCAGAACATTGTGCGCGTCTACATCCAGACGCTGTCCATCTTCCCCGTACGTTGTCGCCCGCCTAAACTCTAATCCCGCCTCGTGCTGACTGCGACCCGCCAGTTTCCCGACCAGAATAATGCCGAAGCTGCCATACACGCCCTCAGCAACGGCCTGCGTCTAACCCTCAAAAAGTACCCCTTTTTGGCCGGCATGCTCTCGCTGGCCGACCGCCACACGGGCAAGCTCGTCCTCGAGTACCCTACTGAAGTGTCAGACGAGCACCTCAACTGCCTCTTCCAATCCAACCAGGTTCCCTACCATGAGCGTGACTTTCCATATACCTACGAGCAGCTCAAGCGCGACGGCATGCCGCCCAGTGCCTTCAAGGGCGCCATGTTTGTCCCCCAAGATCTTCCCAACTACCCCGGCGTCCCCAACGACGGCGAGGGCAAGGTCGACTTTGAAAAGAGTGATGCGCCCGCTATGCGATGTCAAGCCTTCTTCATCCCTGGTGGATTAGTCCTTTCCAATTACATGCACCACAGCGTCTTCGACTTCTCCGGCATTGCCCTCTTCTGGGAGTCGTTTTCTGCCAACGTGACCAGCTTCTCCCGCCAGCAAATGCTGGGCGAACACTCCATCTTTGGTATTTTTCCTTCCATTGCAATCGCTGGCAACAACGGCTGACCGCAGCAGATACCGCCAGCGTCGCCGACAGACAGTCGCAACTGCGCCAGGCTTTTGACCGGCGCATCACGTCGCGGCACGCTGACCGCACAGCAGACTGCTATTGCGAGGGGCCGCCCGAGTATCCCAAGACGTTGCCCAGCGACGCAAGCTGTACTCAGCGTCTCTTTGTCATCCCTGTCGCGCGCATCCGTAAGTATCAAGACAGCTTGCGGCGGCACTTCCCCTCTGGCGGCGCACCGACAATGTGCAATATCCTCGCTGCCTTGGTCTGGACGCACGTCACACGCGCGCGCGGCCAAAGATTGCTCCGATGCGGGCTCAAGGAGACAAATCTAGGCATTGCGACGGATCTGCGAAGACGCCAGAATCCCTGCATTCCTGCCGACTACATGGGCAACATGGCCTTGTTCTCCAAAGGCACCCTGAATGTTTCAGACCTGTTAGCCGAAGACCGGTGAGTTTGCAACCCCCCCCCCATCTCTCTCTCTCTCTCTCCACTACTCTCTCT